TGTTATGACAGTCTGGATACCATTATTCGTATTGCTGTACACTATGATTTAAACTGTCTTCTCACATTACATTTAAAGGGAATGGGTTAACAGTCCATGTAACTTAAATGCTATTTTAAAATGTTTCTATTTATTCTCACTGATTGCTTTATTTTTGTAATATACAATTATCTTCTCTCTAAGTGACACTTGGCTAAAGAGCACCAAAATTCCACCTCAAGTGGTATTTTCAGATGAACTCTGCCCTCCTCCAGAATCAGCTCCTTTTGCAGTTGTTGAGAATTTTATCACGTAGGCCATGGTAAAACCCTCAACTTTGCCAAAACCAGAATTAAGCAAACAGCATCTTCTAATTTTAAATGAGCACAGATTCTAATTAAAGCCATTGTAGTATATTCACAAAGGGCTAGTGGCAATTCAGAATGTAAAGAGATAATTTCAGAAATTAAAGCCAAAAAACTAAGGCGTAAGGCAAAAAAAAAAAAAAAACATTAACAATGGAAACCTGCACAGGTAATGGATCGAAGATTTGCACTTGCACATAAAATTCTCATTATTTCAAATATTACAATACTAAACACTAGAACTTGAAAATGTAAATACAATAAATGCACTGACTGCATCTTTATCAGTGAGCCCCAAAAAATCCCATTTACTTTAATAAATGAATATTTACTTTTTCAATGCAACTTACATGATAAAAATTTATACTAATTAAAATAAATAAAATGTTTAAAAATAAGTTGGTGTGCTATCATATATGCCCTTTTACAATGGAGAGGAGGATCAGAACTGTACACACAAATACCAGAAGCAATTTATAATCCATAAAATAATACTGATCATAAACCTATTACAGAATTAAAACTACAGCTAATTTAATCAAATACACAGTAAGTTTAAAAAATAATTAAGCAAGAAATATATTTGATGATGACATGAAATACTCTAAAGTTTCGGTCTTACAGCTGAGTAAAACAGACTGAAATTGATGGAAAAAATGTAAGTAAAAACAGGAACAGAGGATTTCAGGAGTACTTGTGTGGTCAGCATGTGTAACTTCCTATGGAACAAATCGCTGTCTGTAAATCAAATTATGTTGCGTAAACATGGAGTGTCCAGAATGTCAAATACTGACTTGGGACTGTAATTACTGCACTCATACTGCTACTGGACAATAATAAAAAAATCAAGAGTGATTTTTTTTTTAAAAAAAAAAGTGGCAGAACAGGGTATTTATATATATATATATATTATGGATTAACTAACCACCTGACTTAGGGCCCTAGGCCACTTCTGTAAAATAGGAGAGACAGAAACCAGAAAACACTAGCACATAGTGGAGACATAAAACACAGTAGTTCTTGTCAACGGCACATTAATATTTGTTCTATGAAATCACAAAAAAAGTATACCCTGCAAAAACAAGCAGTATCTGCCTGCATGGAAAACAAACCTCTGTAGCGTACAGTATAAATGGAGGTATTGCAAAATTTTAAGCAATGTGGACCAGTAATCATCAGCAAAAGCTGATTTAACTTTTATGCAAATATTGATTATTGAAAATAATATGCATTCATTACAATCTTCCCATTTAAAAACAAAAATAAAATTTCCAATAAAATAAATAGCTGAAGTGTGATTACCACTCATCTTATTTGTAGGAAAATCTTCTCATTATGCAAGCATATCTACAGTGCCCTAAACAATGGCAGAATTAAATACATGTCGCTCCATAAACCGAAAATCACACTTCCATGGTATAATATCCTAGTGATATATATACACGCACAAATACACACAATTGCCCTTGGTTCAGTTCTATAAAGAAGTTTCAGCATCCACGTATTTCACAACAGGTGAATCTTCCACATGTATCTTCACACTTTCTGGTTTTTCAGGGCTGTTTGAAAGCAAAGAGGAAAATGTGAGGTTTGGTTCACTTCAGTAAAGGTTAACTCTCAAACATTTTATACTTAACAATGAACACTGGAAGTATTTATGTAAGGATACTTTCATAATGATGCATTTTTACTACATTCTGTAACTGTTAAATACTATTCACAGAAACAGTATAAGCTTAAAGAGAGAGATGACCAAGATCTCATCTGTAAATACCACTTCCAGCCCCTCTTCTTTTATTGATTCTATAGATTTGAAAAACAACCCACAGAATTGTCTAGTTAAAAACACTCAAAAACATGTAACAAGCAATATTATTAATAATGCTAAATTATCGGGCAGGGAAACAATTTCGTTTGCAATACGAGACTGGGAAAACATTCCAGTCTTTTCAAAATGGGGAACCACACTTGTAACAACAGTAGAGGACGGTTAGAAATCTGTGTAAGTGTCCATTCAAGTGGAAGACCCTAAAGACAACAGGCTGGCTGGCACCTGAACAACTGACACTCTAGGGACACAGCCACTGAACAGTAGCTTATCCAAGGACAGGAAGAAATGTCCTGACGTAGTTACAGGACAGTAGAAGAGACTTTGGAACAGCGTAAGAGGGAGGCTTCTCTAGGCATGAATTTCAGAAGAGATGACGTATCTATCTGTGGATACCGGAAAAAAAAAAGTATTACAAATTTATGCAAAGAGAAAAATTCTGGCATTCCTTAGGAAATTTAAGTGTGCCTGGACTCCACAGAGTCTATAAAATATGAGAGATGATGAAATCCCGATCAGTTCAGGGAAGACAAAAAAATTATCTAAAAAATAATTTTTTAACAAAGGTAAGATTTTTAAGAAATAATGCCAACTCAGGCAACATGTTATCTGGCTCCTGGCCATCACATCGCTTGCTTCAAACTGCATCCTATTTGAAATCTACAAATCTGAAAACAGCAGTGCCCACAGAACCATTTTTAGCACAGCACTAAATATCTGTCCATACTAACAGATGAAGACTGTTACACAGAAAAACCTTAACAGAACTGAGATGAAAAATTTACTGGGAATTACTTTTGACTGAGCAGTGGTGACATCTCTAAACCTCTCCAGCACCCACTATACAAGAAAGGGTAGGTAGCAAATACCTCGAAACAGCAATCAATTAAGTTAAGGCTCTAGGAAGTCCTGCCTTCTAACAATTTCAAGACTGCCTCTTGAAGGAGCTAGTTTCTGGTACCAGAGGTTTTTTATTTTCAATTTGTAGCTTTAGCAAGCTCACTTCCAAGATGCATTTTTTACCACACTAATCTCAAGCATGATGGCATGTTATGGAATCAAAGGGAAGTGTCTTACAGAAAAATATTTTAAAAAGACATAATACTGAATATGACCTAAGTAGATCAAAAATACTGCAAACTAGTCAGACACCTAATTTGCTAGTGCTGCATATAATTCTATACTAACTTAACCCACTGAGGAAACAGGAAAGCGCAAGACAGTTGTACCAACTTTTAACTGCCTGAAAACCAAATCTGGAAAGAGAAATACAGGTCTGTATCTCTTCAAGCCTTATACACTCAATGACTACCAGAAAACGTACTAGAAGCATCCACAAATTCTGTAACAGGTTACTGAGAATTTAGCATGAAAGAAAATAAACAATTACAATACAAGGGTATATTGACACACATACTCTGTTATCTATCTAATGCCTCTACTTTCTATCTTCCTGACAGTCTAGCTTGTGTGATACTCAAGTTTTTTAAAAAAATTTTCAAATGTTTATGCAAAACATACATTTAAACATTTAAATATGTTTAAACAATACAGGCTGAAGATTCACTGAAAGTGGTGCCTGCGCTAATGAGTCACTCCGGCTTTTCCTATCACAATACCCCAAAGTTCTCTCCTTGTCTTGTTCTTCACCCTTAGTTGACCTACTGTCTGGGCAAAACAAAGCGTATTTCCATGCCTAGTTTGGAGCAACGCACGTGCTGAGCAAACACACCGTAAACAAGTGCTACGCGGCCAGTCACTACTGCTGTTTCCATGACGGAAGTTCAGCAGTACTAGATAGCTTGGAAAATTATGTATGAACACTCCTCCACAGAGATGTAATTTTATACAAAACTTAACAAATTCCTGTCTTCCTTTGACAGCTTTGGCTGAAAGGGATCAACCAAAAGAAGATGCATGTACAGACAGCAGGACTGCAGAAGGTTAGTTTTCTGAGTCAGCCGGGACTGTTGTTCCCCCCTCCTTCCTACATAAAAACTACTAAGCAGTAGTTGCATTCTGATCAAACAGTCCACAGATACCAGTCCTATAAACTACAAGCCTTTCAGGAAGTTGGGGATATCCCATATAACTATTTAGGATTTGGGTTGTTCCCCTTGCCAGATTCAGCCAGGCAGCAGAGACACTAGGACAGAATAGCAGAATGAGTTGCTGCACACAGACTTTCTTGTTTGATGGAGAGCTCACTGAGAAAGAGGCTCCTGGCCATCACAGAAGATGCAAGTCAGCTTAGAAGGAAATGTTCACAGCACTGAGGACTCCTAATCTGTCCAGTACTTATTTCAAGTATATTCCATATCCAGTGAAGATAATATTTGACCCGGGTTTAATTTTTAGAGATTAAAAATGACCTGGGGAAAACCAAACCAACCAACAAACACACAAAAAGAGGGGGCAGATCCTAGGGCAGCATAGAGCAACAATGAAAGTGCTGGACTTACCTTTTATTCCCACTGGCATTTGTAATGTTCAGGATCAAACACGCCCATGCTCATACACAATCTACTAAAGCTTTTAGAAACCCTAAACCCATCAAAGTAGCATACCATTGTATTAGCAAATAAAGAGTAAGTTTAAAATTGCAATAATATATTTAGTAATTGGAATTCCTTATAGAAATATTTTAAGTTCAGAGTAAAAAGCAAAAATTAAGTTCAAATTGAAGTTCCTCTAAAGAAGAGCATCAATGCAGATTTACAAACCATGTATGCTCATTTTTTTGAGATACATTTAAAGAAATACAAGTACAGTTATTATCTGCTAAACACAAGATCATAGTTAGAAAATTTGTGAGTGATTATAGCTACCTCAGGTTAGCTCTGGTTACTTTGGCATTCTCAGTACTCATGGCAAGAGCCTTCCACTGTGCAGTTTTGGCCATTTCGTCTGATATGTTTACAATTGAGGGATCAATGCTAAAGAACAAACATACTTTCTGGTTAGTATTCAATGCAGAATACCTTGCAACAGCACTATACTTACTGTCACTCATTTACATCAGTTGTGCCTTCTTTCAATATTTACGCAGCCACAAGTTGAGTTCATCTCTTAACGTTATTTCACAAAAATTTGAAAATTTAACTCACTAGTGCTGCCTTAATCACATAGCATCCTGAAACAGTTTTTCACATAGATACCAATAAGACATTGAGAATATTTGAGAGATCTCATTTCTAAATTACCTGCAACTTCAGAAAACTATTTTGCATGCTTAGAAATACTGAAATGAATCACACTGTTCTGGTAAGGCTTTCATAAATCAGAATTATTTTAAGTTGTTTCCAGAAAATAATCAAGGACAAAAGAACAGATGTTATTAAAATTCTGAAACTGGTAACTCAGTTGAGATTTAAAACTAGTAAAAAATCTAGAAGTCCCAATTATCTAGACAGATTTCAAGTTATTTTTTTTCCTGCAGAGCCTTACTAAACATTTTTCAAGGTTCTTCTTGCCACCAACCCCCCCAAGTCCTGCAGATGGCAAGTTCACCCTCACAGATGGCAAGCTTTCAAAACCCATTTCCCACTTTGCCCTCCACACATTTATATCTACAGCAGACTTGGGTGTTGTCTGTAGATACGTTTTCTGTTCTGTTCCATACTTAAACTTCAGAATCTGCCCCAGGGTATCTGTAAGAGTTTTTCAAATTGCATAGAAATCTTTCAAAGCCATTTTTCCTCAGGAATCCCCACAAGATGCAAGACAGCGAAATATATAGTGAACACACGCACACAGTTGATGAAATCATAGTTCTACTGTGAGAGCAATTAGCAACTCAGATGTTTTTCAAAAAGCTTCAGCATTTAGCATTTTGATTTGAGTTGCTAAAGTCTTATTAAGTCTGCTCTCAGAGTAGACATTAGCACCCAGCAGGAATATCTGTCTAATCCAAAAATCTGCCTGTTCCAAATTCAGACCAGGGTAGACCTAACACTACCTAGATCCATAGGAAAGCCAATTTTTAACCTAGGAATCCTTAGCACTACAGAAGGAAAAAAAAAAAAAAGCTGGCAAACTATTCAACTGTCACATCTTCTGGGTGTGGCTGAACAGTTGTAGAACACCTCACAACTAAGCTGAATACATCCCCAGTAAGGGAGATACAGACTGAGACAACACACCTTCCAGTGCTGAAGGAACTGTCCATCAGTGAAAATCCAGCACTTCCTTTTCCGGAAGAGAATCAGTAACCCTGTCATCACATCTACTTTCAGAAAATGACCTTTTAAAGTAAAATTGGATGCCTGTAAAAAGTTTTTTTGCATCCCAAAAGTTTAAGACTTCAGTCCTCACTGAAATAAACCGCCGAAGAATTGCACACTTAGACCTTCTCTGAAAAATCCAAGTGGCTGGTAAACACACGGCTCAACTGATGCCATTTGTTGCTTAACACTCAGTATTTCATGCACAGTAACACACAAGTATTCCAAGAAAACTGACCAAGGAAGCTTCTTCACCTTGAGTACAGCTGGTCGAAACTGAGTCATCTGATCTGTTCAAGATGGTCAGGTAAATTTTTAATTAAGATGCAGTTTTAAAGAACTACACAACATAAAAATGCTACTATAGCACCATGAGATACACCTTCACACTTCCTAATCACGGCCGAGTTACAAGCTTGGGAAAAACAATTAATTGAACTCATAAGCAATCAACTTAATATAAAGCAAATTACCGCACGTGATACAAAAACTCTTAAAAGATGAACATTTTATTATACCTGTATTTTAGGGTTTTTACAGGAAAACCCAAATTTGCTTCTCCATATGCAAGGTGTACACTTTCATTGTCCCCTGTCTGAAGCATTCTCTCTGCTTCCTGTAAATTCCAAGTAAAAAGCTTATAAAATTACTCATGCAGCAGAAATCAAAGAAGTATCTCATGCTGACAGTTAATTTCCACAGGGGAAAGGGGCATTTCCCTGTAGGTACTGGAGTTGAATGCAGAAGATATAGTTTAAGACCTTTTTGCTTAGAAGTGTTTTATGCAGGTAGGGGAGATGGGGAAGGAGGATGTTTTGTAAGGAATTCTGCCAGCTGGTGTACAGCTAGGTAAGACCTTCATGGAGAAGTTATATGAGCTCCATTACTATATTACTGGTAACTAGCAGTTGGTTTTAACTACAGCTCTGCAAACACATACAAGCAAAATGTCCCTGATACGGTGAACAGTCTTGTGATTAATTTAAGCAGGATAAAGATCCCTACTCCACTGCTTTTATTTCCCTCTCCCTTTTCTCTCCTTCTAACCTGATGAAAGACAAAGAAATCAACATTTTGTGGTAAAAACTGCTTCCCTTCCACTTTGGTTGCTCATTTTAATCACAAGAGTCATAGTTCACAATAGCACCATTGAAACAGTGACTTTTCCTTAAGTTAATCACCACTAATAGTTCGTCTAGCATTAAATCTCATTACTTAAGAATTTCAAAATATGTATTTGGTATACAAGGTCATATGCTCAGGCCACGTAAAGTTCTTTTAAGTTTCACTATTTTCTAGTAATTTACAACATGCTTAGTTTGATTCTTTTAGCACTTACTGCTTTCTCTTTTTTCTTTTTGTCATCTTCTTTCTTCTTTTTACTTTCTGGCATAAGATCATCAAGCCAGCTAAGCTCTCTTTTGGTGAAACATAAATCCATCAGCTTGCGAATGAACACTAACGCTAGAACCTTAAAGGAACCATAAATGGAATCATTTACATTGAACTATTTAAATGAACAAAAATGCACACACTGTCAGTACATTCAGAATCCTTGACTGAAGCCCTTTTTTGTAGTGGTAGTTTTATCTTACCACAAAGTTAAATAAATTCCCCTTTCAATAGCTGTTCACAACTGAATTGCTTATTTTCAGGAAATGGAAAGTCCTTTTGTTTCAGAAGTGAACAACTTGTACTATGGGTTCTTTTGTTTCTTCCCCACTCCCTTCTTTCTTAAGGCAGCCAATACCTTCTGAAGAGATCCTGGATAATGCAAGTACTCTTGGAAAATTATTGAGTTGTAAAACAGAAAACTTACCATCATAGGGAAAACAACAGCAGCTGCAGAGGCTTTAATCACCCACAACAGAACTAGACAAGTAAGCTGAACAACTGTAAAGATGTGGACCTTCCACAGTGGCACATAACGTAGATAAATCAGGTCAGGTTGATGTTTGGCAGGCATTCCAAACAGTTTTATACGGTCAAAAAACTGCATTGAAAAATAAAATCATCCTTCAGGTAATTATTTCATTCCTCTCCGGAAGAAAATAAATGTTTTTAGGGGACTTCAGAAATGTAAGTTCATCTCAAATAAAATACTAATGAAGAACACTGAACATTCAAGGGGGTGGGACTGGGGGCTGTTTTGGTTGGTTGGTTGGTTTTTTCCCTCCCATTACTACTAGAAAATTTCAGAAGATTTCAGAAAATCTGTTGTTCGGCTACACTACTGAAAGAATAAATGCAAAAGAACTGAGAAGTGAAGGCACAACACTGCAAGAACAAACATCTGAACGTGACACTTGGGAAATTATGCTACATACATACAAATTATCCTACATACATATTCAGACAATATAGGCTAACTGTATTGTTGCTCACATAAAGCAGTGTGTTACAGTTTTCTTTTCATTTAGTGTTAAGCAAAAGCAAATTGCTCATTAAAATCAGACTTTACCTGAATGCCTTTTAATGAAGATACTCCCATGTAAAGAAAGACACCATACAAAACCGGCATTGGAATAAACTGGGGAGGAAAACACAACCACACAGTTACTTGTGGAATCAACACGGCATAGCACAGCAGTCCATATTAGCAAAAGACACGGATCAAGTTATTTTTTGCTTTATATTTTACTTAAGTGAAACCTGTAATAGCTGAGGCTCTTTATTTATAGAGAAAATATATGCATCCTTGAGCAGCAAAAAAAAAATAATCTAGAACTAACAAGGCTATCTGATAGGAACTGCACTGAGACTATTGACCATGAAATCGCTGTATGAAGTTTTACTTTTGATCACTAATCTTGCATTTCTGGAGCAGATGAAACAAAAACCCCATACTTACTGAGCTATGAAAGCCTGCTAATTATTCAGGGTTAAGTTTTGCTCCAATAAGAAGATTGCTTTAAAGCTTACTAAGATAATGAAGCTGAGCACTGATTTCAGTGGCATTTGCATCAAACCTCTGCAACCTACACAAAGCAAGCGAAGAAGCTTTCTTCGCTCCTAAATTCACAAAACTTCTCGGTAAAAGAAAGCCAAAATACAATTTGAAATCTTAATAAAAACTGCTGCTATAAAGCCTGAACAAAGCCTTTACTGAAATACTGAAACAAATAGTGTGGAATAAAACTGTGCCTTAGGGATTCACCACTGTGTCTCTGTGTGTGTGTGTGTGTGTGTGTATAAAAGCTAGTGTCTTCACTGTAAGCTCTGTAATTTGACATGCTAGTGCTTCGTTTATGTTAACTTCTGCTGCATTAAATCAATATAAATCCATACACGGAACAAAAGCACAGCAACCTACAGATGCAAGGCTTTGTTCTCCTTCCTTCTTTCAAACAATAACAGCCATTCACATTGAAAAAGAAAAGTATTTCAGAAAAAGCAATAGTAATAATTCCATTCCTATTACCCTTCGTTCCATAAAAAATAAAAATATTAGTTTCTAAGAATCAGCTGTTAAAATGTGGGGTAAACATCTATCTTCAGCATTCAGCACATTTATCTTTTGCTTTTGAGCAACAACAAATCTATTTCAGTATTTCTGCTTTTGATTCTGATCATTTTCATTACACAGCTGAGCTCTTGATAGCTTTTCAACCAGAGACTGTCAAATCTGAGTATTCATTTTTAATAACTGCTACTGCCTTGTTGTTTTCAGACCTTTATATTTTTTAACACATACAAATAGCCAATTATTAAGAATTTATAATATGTAGCTCTAATTACTAAACTATAGCTGTGTGTTCACAGGTTTATTTCTTTCCATCACCTAAACCTGAACAGCTATTAGAAGCTACCTTTTTGTGAAATGACTTGGGATCGGTCTTTAAACAGACTTTTACAAAGTTCTTTAAAGGCATTACCAATTACGTTATTTAGGCCATACCTGCTATTTTGGCAACAAAAGACAGTTTTTTCATTTCTCCTTTTAACTACTGGATTTGAAATAACAAAGCAGAAGTTGAACAGATTTTACTGAAATCAAAGCATAAAGCCAAATGAACTGATTGGTTTTCTTCCAATAAAGTCTTTGGAAGGGCACTATGGATATAAATTAAGAGACAAAGTGTAAACTAAGGCCACAATACAACCTGCAAAATCTCTATTGCGCAGTGATGACACATAAAATTATCTTGACACTTTAAACGTCAAAGGAAGTTGAAGATAAGAACAAGAAGCGGAAAATGTCACTCCTGATGACCATTTTTTAAACCACATGTTTCTCTTTCTTCTACTACATTATATTACTTCTGCTCAAGTAACTATCTTTATCACACTCCTTTTCTCTCTCCATTTATACACTCACATAAGAGCTACAAAAGAACTATTTTATGCAACATGACTCAAGAAACTAAAAAATAGCTGGCAAGAAAATCAGGTAACATGGACAAAAGTCGCTTTCTTCCCTACTCATTTTCTTACATCTCCACCCATCATTTCTATTCAACTAACACCTGTTGTTAAAAAGGCAACTTGAGAATGAGTCCAGGCGTATTTAACTTAACATAATAAAATTTCCTAACATTATGAAATGCCAAATCACAACATCAAAATCAAAAGCACAAAGAAAATATAAATGTTTTGGAAAAAACTGTCTTTTACCTTTAACACAGAGGTCATGAACACTGACAGCCCCATCAGGACAAAAATCATCAATCCTGTCACTCGTTGCTCCCGGATTCCCAAAAACTTTGGTTGCTCTCCTGGTGCCGAGCATTCAGATTCAACTTTCAGGCTATTAACATGACTTATAGACAGGACAGTTGCAGCAACAAACCACGGCAAGCCCATGACGGAACATATCCCCAGCATAAGACCAACCATGAGCAGATCAAGATGATAACCACAGCCTTTCTGTGAAATTAAGTAAATGAATAATTTGATAAACTTTCTATTTAAATGATACCATATTTGTAACCTAGCTCGTAAATAACAGGTAACTACAAAAGTCAGACACTTTCAGAGTGTCCACAAAATTGTATTTGTTCTTTATTGGTCAATATATAAACTCATTTAGCAGCTGCTGGTAATGTTTAGAGACTTCCAGAATGAATCTGATTTAAAATAAACTTGACTTGCACAACATTGGAGTTTTGTGAAAATAACTTTTACCTTCAGCTTATGCTCTTTTCTGTTTATAATAACAGCTGTTATTTGTTGATCCATGAAAATGAGAATGGTACAGAGTAAAGCAGGAACAGCAGCTACCAAGAGTGTCCACCAAGGATTGCTTCCAAGGGGATCTATGAACCATCCTCGGTCTTTTCGGGTGGGCTAAAAAAAACAAACATCAACACCAAGAATTAAATGACTGAGATAAAATACAGATTTTATTGCTACAAACAGCTGCAATGAACAGATCAATAGTCTCTTAAACATACATTTAGATTTTTTTTCCAATGGCTTTGACAAAAGACTGATTTAGCTGTTACATGTGCATGTGACATTTATATGTAAAAATTAAAACAAGTCCATTCCATTCCTTCATTTCTGCACATTTGCACAAAAGAATTCTTCCTTTTCAGTGATATCATAATATAAATTCTATTATTATTAATATAAA